AGGATGTGGATGAAGCTTATATGAACAAGGTAGAGCTGGAGTCCCGCCTGGAAGGGCTGACCGATGAGATGAACTTTCTCCGGCAGCTGAATGCTGAGGTATGTTCAGAGAGTCAGCCCCTCCTCCACCCTGGGCCTTATCTCCTAAGGAAGAAGGCCCTTGTGCAAAAAGGGGTTCTTTGTAGGCAGAAACAGAGTCTCATCATCTTCTCTTCATGATAGGAGCTTCGTGAGATGCAGGCCCAGATTTCGGACACATCCGTGGTGCTATCCATGGACAATAGCCGTTCCCTGGACATGGACAGCATCATTGCTGAGGTCAAGGCCCAGTATGAGGAGATCGCTAACCGAAGCCGGGCTGAGGCTGAAAGCATATACCAGATCAAGGTGAAGAAGCAGGATTATTTGCTTCCCTGCACTCACCCCTGCCCACCCACCCCCAGCCCTGTCTATGCCCTACTCACAAGAAGGGAGCAGGATTTCAAACTCCGCTGGTCTGTTAGGTGGAGGCTAGATGCCCTGTGTCTGGAGGCCTGGAAGAAGGTCTTCATGGGGGAAACACTGTGACCTGGCAGAGTGGGCACTCTTCTTGGGTGGAGGGCAGCTTGGGCTCCAGGGAGTCTTCCCTCAGGTTTCACTCCTTGTCTCTTACCACAGTATGAGGAGCTGCAGACACTGGCTGGCAAGCATGGGGGTGAACTTCGTCGTACAAAGACTGAGATTTCTGAGATGAACCGAACTATCAGCCGGATCCAGGCTGAGATTGATGCCCTCAAAGGCCAGGTATGGGCTGGGCTAGCCTGGGTGTGGGAGATGACCCATCTGGGTGAGGAGATAATGTAGGAAGGAGTAAAGGGGCTCAGGGCCAGGGACGAGCATCCTAGACCAGAATTTGGGAGTTGAAGGTGAGAGCTACAGCCCAGCTTCTTGGACTCTTCCTGGGAAGGTGACCCATGCTAAGGTGGTTCTTGGGACAGGGGTGGAAGGAGACTGGGAAGGTAGGCTGAAGTCTAGAATGCGCCCCCCAACCCTGATTTATTTTAATTTAATTTTTTTTTTCTTCATGTTTTATTGTTAGCCTGGTTTATTTTATCTGTCTTATAAATTAGGGTAAGATTGGGTTCTGATGCTTGAAGAAGGCCTAGAGTCCAGTTAGGGTGGGAAATGGTGCTGGATAGGGTCACAGGTGAGACTTTCAAGGTGAAGTGCCTGGAAGCAGCTGTAGTTCTCGCTCCTCTCTCTGCTACCTGAGTCTTATTTCCCATAGCTTCTTTGAGCTGGGTGGAATTGGCTAGTCTGGTTCAGGGAGGTGGACTCTAAGGAGATGGAATGGGCACAGGTTGAGGAAGCCCATCAGATACCCTATACCTGCTTGCTTTTCCACAGAGAGCTTCCCTGGAGGCTGCCATTGCTGATGCTGAGCAGCGTGGAGAGCTGGCCATTAAGGATGCCAACAACAAGGTGACGGAGCTGGAGGTTGCCCTGCGTCGAGCCAAGCAGGACATGACGCAGCAACTGCGGGAGTACCAGGAGCTGATGAACATCAAGCTGGCCTTGGATATCGAGATCGCCACCTACCGCAAGCTGCTGGAGGGCGAGGAGAGCCGGTGAGTGAGGGGTCTCTGATGCCTCATGCCTGGGATCCAGAGGTGCCTCATGCCTGGGATCCGGAGGGTGGAGAGGGATGGGATAGGGATGGGTATTAGAACTTGGATCCCATTGTCTTGGGACACAAAAGGCTAAGAGTCGGTCCTCATGTCCAATGTGTCCTTTGGGTACAGGCTGGAGTCTGGGATGCAGAACATGAGTATTCATACAAAGACCACCAGTGGCTACTCTGGTGAGTGTCCTGAGCCCTGAGGAATGGAGGTGGGAGGGCAGGGCCTCCTGGGCAGAGGGGGTGGTTTCCATCAGGGAGGCATGCACTGGGGGTGGGGGTAGAGGACTGGGCTCAGTTGCATGTGCAGTGTGGCCAGTCTTGAGCACTTGGCAGCTGACCAGAGAAGGAATAGGAGCAAGATCCTTGTTTTTGGGGGAGTTCTGGAGTACTGGGGGACATACCCAGGACCTGAATCATATAGTTACCAATAGAAAGCGTCCAACTGGCCTAGGCACCGTGATGAGTGCTTTACATGCTTTAGTTTAGTTACTATTTATACCACACCTGTACATTTTGCTATTTTGCTGAAGAGGAAGTTGAGATCCAGTTAAATGACTTGTCCAAGGTCACATAGCTAATTCTGAAGCTCTTTCCTACATGCTGCTGATTTCCCCTGACTTTCTAGAGCAGTGAACCTCCCAGGCCTGGGTGAGAGTCCCTGTCCCTGAGGGTGGTGTCGGGAGTGAGCAGATAGAAGGGGCTGTGTGGAGTCAGGTGCAGAGAGATGCTCATGTGACTACCTCTGTTCCTGATTAGGTGCGCTGAGCTCGACTTACGGGGGTCTCACAAGCCCCAGTGCCAACTATGGCCTGAGCTCCTTCCAGTCCAGCTTTGGCTCTGGCGGGGGTTCCAGCTCCTTTAGCCGCACCAGCTCCACCAAGGCTGTGGTTGTAAAGAAGATCGAGACCCGTGACAGGAAGCTGGAGTCCGAATCTTCTGATGTCCTGCCCAAGTGAATGGCCACTGTGGTCCTCCCAGCCCATACCTGCCCCTGACCTCCTTGAAGCTTTTGGGAGAAGGAGCTGTACAGGGGCACTAGAGGCTTGGCCCAGACCTCAACCTACCCTGGGGAATCTACTGCTTGGGTACCCAATGAAAGCAAATTGTCTTTTCCAAAATAAAATTTGAGCCAATCCACTTTGATGTGAGTGCAGCCCTTGTCCACGGAGGTGGGAGAAGGAGGTGTCTGGAAGCCTCTTCCTGGGACTCAGAAGCTGGGAAGGTCAGGAGGGGACTCTAGAGAGGGAAGGCTGGCTTCCTCTAGGCTGTTCCTGAAGAGACTTCTTTGTTGAATTGTGGTTGACCATTGCCATAAATATTCACACCTGCTGTCACAGTCTCTCATCTGTGCACAGAGCATTACATGTTTTTATCATGTGTGCTCATAATGCCCTATTTCAAATGATCTACACAACAAGTCCTGCATGGCATTATCAGGAAAGAGTTTACCTTTCTGGGTTTACAAGAGATCCGCATGAGGACTACTAGCAGGCTCAGAGACCAAGTAATTTGCTCAAAGAGAAAGTGGCACAGCTGGGATTTGAACTCAGGACTACCCCATTCTCAAACCAACACTCCTACTTCTCTTTGTGATCAGTACATGTCTTCTCCTTGTGATCAGCGATTCCTTTCACGTTTTTTAAGCCAAGGACCAAGGAGTCCTGATTTTCCCATCATTCAAAGGTTCAGAGTTCATTCTCAGTAACTGAGTGGCCACAATTTCTAGAAGCCAAAATAGAAGCCTGGGCCTAGTCCCTGCTTCACTCACGGTCACGCCCTCTGCTTTACTCTTCCACATCCCCCTTCCTGCCCTTTCACATGCTGAATTGATATTAGACAGACGTGTGTGTAAAGGGGGTGTGTGCCTTCTGCGTTTGCATGTGTAGGTGTGTTAGGTGGGTGTATACAGATTTCATGATGTGTGTGAATAAAGGGTTTGCCTGCCTTGTGGACACACAGAAGCTTTGAGGTTTAGGGCTGGAATGGAGGGTTAGGGCACAGCTGGATGGAACTGGGCAACTGCAACACTCTCAGTCCACTGCCTCCACCACTGAGGCTGTGCCTAGTGCATGACTAGATGATGCATTCTCACCAAGGGATAACAATCTAGAAATAGGTGTGGTGGGTGGAAGTAGCCTGGTGCAGGGAGCGTTTTGGTCTGACCCTGCTGTGGCCCTTTGGGGCTGCTGATCCTGGGCCCCTGACCTCCCATTGAAGGCCCATCTCACTGCCTCCTTAGCTACCCATCACCATTCTTAGAATTAGTCCCAGTTTGACCTCCCATCCCCTTCTACCTAGTCTCGAGAAATGGCCAGAGGTCTGGATACTTCACACTAAAGGACTTCACTTTTTGCTGATAAGCATTAGAGGCTTTCTGACTATTAAGGGACTTGCTCACAGTCAGAAGGAGGCGCCCTAACAGCACAGTGGTTAAAGTACTCAGCTGCTAACTGAAAGGTAGGTAGGTGAAACCCAGGAGAAAAAGGAGGCAGTCTATTTCTATAAAGATAGTAGCCCTGAAACCCTTTGGGGACAGTTCTACTCTGTCTTTTAACACCACTACGAATCAATCCAATTGTTGTCGGTGGGGTCTTCTTGTTTTTGTTCATAGTAAGAAATTCATTTTTTGTTTATCACGATCCACGAATAAGAATTTCATAAAACAAGACCTACCTTCTGCCCTCTGCTCTGGTGTGCCCTAGCCCTCTTGCCAGGAGGCAGGAGAGTGATGTTAGAACCCAGGGCAGGGCAGCAACTGGTGAGCAGGACTTCGCCCACTGGAACCCCAAGTCAATATTTTCAATAGTTCCCCACCCGATACTCTCTGAAGTCAGCACCTTATCAGGTCCTGCCCCTAGGCAATGGTGTTCTGGGGGGCAGCCAAGGGCCCCACCAGGAATTTTTACACCCCGGATATTTGCTCAGGGAAAGGCAGGAACAATTCCAGGGAGAATTCCCTTTCCTTCCATTCCCTTCCTCTCTCAATCCTCCCTCCTCTCCTTCTTCCCATATTATTGTGTATCTCCCCGTGATCCTGGTGCGGTGCCATAGAATATGGACTGGAATGATAACCACATGATTGGTAGTTTAAACCCACCAGCTGCTTCTTAAAAACCCCATACAGGGTCTCCATGAATCGGAACTGACTCCACGGCACTTAATATCAACAACAAAAACAGCAGCCTATGATCAAGGAGTCCCTGGGTGAGTAGGCTGCTAATCCAAGGGTTAGTGGTTTGACTTCACCCTATGACACCTCAGAAGAAAGGCCTGATGATCTTTTGAATAATCAGCCATTGAAGCCCCCATGGATCCCAGTTCTACTCTTTTACATGTGAGGTTGTCATGAGTCACAATCGACTTCGGGGCAACTGGTTAAGTGATAAACAAAGATTGGCGGTGGTGGTGGTGGTGTACTACTCAGTTGGTTCCGACTCATAGCAGCCCTGGATAGGGTTTCTGAGGCTGTAAATCTTTACGGGAGCGGGGGCAGTAAGACTCATTTTTCTCCCGCAGAGCCACTGGTAGATTCAAATGGTTCACTTTGTGGTTAGCAGCCCAGCTCATAACCCACTACACTACCAGGGTTCCTTTAAACAAAGATTGTTGTTGTTGTTGTTAAGTGCCATCGAGTCGGTTCCAGCTCATAGCAACCCTGTATAGGGTTTCCGAGGAGTGGCTGGTGAGTTTGAACTGCCGCTCTTGGGGCTCAATCTGGCCTTTTGGTCAAACACACTATCTTGCAGCACCATGCTACCCCAAACAAACAAAACAAAAGAAAAAACCCAAACTCAAAGCCATTGTGTCAAGCTGATTCTGACTCATCGTAACCCTGTAGGCCAGAGTAGAACTGGCTGATAGGGTTTCCGAGGTGGAAGATCTCTATGGAAGCAGACTGCCACGATTTTTCTCCTGAGGAGCAGCTGGTAGACTTGAACTGCAGACTTTTTATTTAACAGCCAGCCACTTAACCACTGTGCCACCAGGATTCCTTTAGGCAAAGGCCGTGGTGGTGGTGTGCTGTGGAATCAGTTCCAACACATATTGATCCTGTACAGGATTTCCGAGGCTGTAAATCTTTACAAGAGCAGAAAGCCTCGTCTTTCTCCTGTGAACAGCTGGTAGTTTTGAACCGCTGACCTTGAGGTTAGCAGCCTGATTCATAACCACTTTGCTACCAGAGCTCCTTTAGGCAAAGGTAAGAGCTTAAAATTTACTTTTCACTTAGATGAGGAAGCTGAAGATGATGGGAGCTAACATTTCTGAGGGCAGACCTTGTGATTCATCAACTCTTAATCCTCCACTAATCTGTCGGGCCAATTTTAAAAGCCTCATTTTATGAATGTAGAATTTGCCTAAGGTTGCATAGTAAATGATAGTGCCCTGACTCTTAGACCAGTTCTTTTGACAATACTAGATTTCTCTCAGTGGCTGCCTAGGGGCACAAAGAATTAAGTGCTGAATTACTAGCTGAAAGATTGATTGGCAGTTTGACCCAACCCACAGATGTCTCAGAAGACAGACCTGGGGCTCTACGTCTGGAAGGTCACGCCCTTGAAAACCTCACGGAGAAGTTCCACTCTGCCACATGGGTCACCGGGATTCAGAATCGACAGGTTGTCAACCAACAACAATAGCTTTCTATCCCACATGTCATTGTTAGGTGCCATTGAGTCAGTACTGACTCGTAGTGAACCTATGCACAACGGAACGGAACACTGCCTGATTCTGGGCCAACCTCACAATTATTGCCACGCTTGAGCCCATCGATGCTGCCACTTGACCAATCAAATTATTATTATTATTTTTTTAAAGAGGTAATAAATGTACAAGACATACAATTCAAATGTACAAGGATCTTCCTCGCCAGTCATTTGGTTTCTTTATCATGTTGTTGTTGCTAAGTGCCATGGAATCAGTTCTGACTCATAGCAACCCTGTATAGGGTTTCCAAGGATCTGCTGTGGGTTTGAACCACCAACCTTGACATTAGCAGTCCAGTGTTCATCCTATAGTGCCACACCAGAATTCCTTCTTTCTTATTTGTTGCTGTTAAGTGTCAATGAGTCAGTTCCGACACATAGTGACCCTGTATAGGGCTTCCAAGGAGTGACTGGTGAGTGTGAACCACCAACCTTGTAGTTCAACATCACCAGTTTCTTCCTGGTAGTGTTCATGTATATAGAATTAGTTAGGCACTTACATACTCGCACATACATTTATACTTGTTTCTCAAAAAGGATAGTGTCTGATATGTGTTGTTAAATACTTTTATTTGACATCTGTTCCTTCCATATCAGTGTGTGTGTAAAATTGCTATTTTTCACAGCTCCATAATATTCCATTTAAGGATGTCCCATAATTTATTTAACCTGTCCTCTATTAGTGGGTCTTCTTAATCTTTTTCTATGATAACAATGTTGCAATTCATAATAACCTTGAATACAAATTGTATCATATATGGTGAGGCTACCTGAATAATTCTTGTAAGTAGAATTACTGAGTCAAAGTATATGTACATTGACATTTTTGATAGATATTTTTTTATGGGACTGAATTTTAAATTCCTAAAAAATCCATACGTGTAGAAAACCCATTTTTGACCATTATTTTGGTCATTTTTCCCTGCCTCTCTCATTCCCAGGAATAATAAATACTATGAGGAAACCTCTAAGCATTTGTAGACCGTTCTTCCTACATTGCGATTCTAAGTTTCACTGTACCTGTCCAAGGTAAATTAGGCTCAGGTGATCCATGAGGTTTCTTGCAGCCGGAGATGTTTTAAGTGTGCTAAGGATGAGGGCCAGACAGACTAGGGTGTAGTGGAGGAGGAATGGATGAGGTCAGTGGAGAAGCAGGGAGGGAGAAAGGGGGAGCAGCATGGTTGGGTGCTCCCCAGATTGCCGCATTGTGGACGTGGTCCATGGGTTTGTCTCTCTAGCCTTCTTTCCCCTTTCTTATGGTATCAGAGTACATCTCCTCTCTCCTGCCTCCCCA